ATTATTATTATTATTATTATTATTATTATTATTATTATTATTATTATCTGTGTTGTTGATATAAAATTTAAAAAAAAAATCATATGTAATGTATGCATATATATATTATATATATTATTTAAACTGTATTTTCTGTTATATTTTTTAGTAATTGTAGTTGCCGATTGATATTCTAAAATACCAAGACTGAATGTTCAACCAGTGGCTAAAATGTGCTAAAGAATTTTTTTTTTCATAATAATATTTAAAAAGTACATTATATTAATTAGATTTTTAAATACTTTTGTTCTGCCACTGTATTCAGCTCGTTCATTTTTATTTTTAAATATTCCAAAATAACTTTTAGTTTAGTACAACAAATGCAATAAAAATTGTGTGTAAGTTTGTGTGTGACAGTTCATTTAATATTGTTTTCAATTATTATTTTACGGTGCCCAATTTTTTATTTTTATACAATAAAATGAAGAATATTTTTTAAACATGTGTATCAACTAAAAGAAAAAAAAATAACCTTAAATTTGTTATGTACAGTGTTCTTTGGTTTTAATGAAAAGCTAAGAGAAAAATAATTTTTTTTATATATATAATATTGTTGAGTCAATTAGTCTGTAGTACCGTAACAATTATGAACACCAATTTGTTTTTATTTTTTACATTGTATTATGACTTATTTTTAATTATTATTAATTTGTTTTATCTTATGTTGCTTATCACGATTTATTTTATTGTATGAATGTAAAACTAAAACCTCGTTTGAGACAAAAAAAAAAAATAATAATAATAATACCAGTGACAATCATTATTATTTTTTTTCTCTAATATAATTAAAGTACATTATCTTATTTCCATTTTTTTTTTTCAAACTGATTTTATTTATTTTTTGTTGTTAATATTATTATTATTATTTTTTGGTGCGCTTTTCTTGATTATTATAAACTAAATAAAAACATATTAATAATTAAAACATATTATATAGTAAATTAATTATTTAAATATATATATGTAGCCTATCGATTACGCTGTTATATAGAAAGTTAAGGTTTAATAAAATTTATGTATCACTATTATTATACATTTATACCCGATTTAAATTGTAAGTTTAAATTATATAAAACCATTTTAATTGTGCTAAACAACGGGAAATCTATTACGATTATATTATTATTACCTTGTACAAAATTAAGAAAACACAAAATTAGTAAGAGTACATTTTGAAAATTAATGAACCAAGTTAGTTACATTTTAGAACAAAATATAATATTGAACATTTTATAATAAATGCTTTTTTGTTCTTATTTCTCATGTTTATGTATTCTACAAACTGCTGTAATCATAACATAATTCCCCCGAGCCTATAAATCTTTAAAAGTTAACTGTGCTGAAGTTATATTTTTATAAACAACAGAGGTATGATTGTCAGAATGATATAAAACAATTTTATCAATTACCAAGATTACATCATAGAATTCTTGAGGGGTGAACTGATTTATTTTCTGTTAATTTTTTATTAGCATACTTGAATCGGGGGGGGTTTTTTTATGGATAATTGTTAAGCGTTAATTTACTAGTTGCAAGTTGCTTGAATACTTTACTATGTATTTGGTGACATTTTGAAGACTTAGAATTGATGGTGTTTCGGATAAATTTCAAATAAAATTAACTTATTGTTGGATTAATTAAATCAGTACATACTATTGATGTGGCTTTGAGATGGATACTTTAGACAAAATTAAGGATTGAAAACATTTTCAAATGTGTTTGAATATCAGTTTTTTTAAAAACACGAAAGTGTGTCAATACTTTCCTTCTTTTTTTTTTTTTTTTTTTTGTCAACGTTTAACAAGAATTTAATATTGTCCACAAGGTTTCAGTTATTTTCAGTAGCTAGTGTTAAAGGCGTTTCTTGAAAAAGTCTAGATCATACGTACTTATTTTTTGACAGAATAAATATTTGAAAGTAATTGTGTTATGCACTTCATATCATGTCTACAATTATCAGTTATTAGATTTATTTTGAACAACAACGATACGACCGTTGTCTGTTGATGGCGATACGCTGGTGGGGTGTTGCTGCATTAAGACAATTTGTTTTCTGGTTCAAAAAAAATAAATAAAATTGACGTCCCCTACGGGTACTTATCTCCAATTCACGTTAGGAGGAAAGATATTCATAAGCTTTTTTAGATTTCGACCATAGAAAAAAAAACTATTGGTTTTACATGTAATTAATCGGGTTTTTCATTACTTGATCAAAATTGTAATCTTACATTCGTAAAATTATATATTAATGTATTAAAATTATAAAAACAAACGGTAAAATATTTCTACAAATAATTTTAATTTGATTATGAACAGTGGCGGCGCGAAATATTTTATTTCATGAGTTTTGTTAGGATTTTGCCCACCCACCCACCCACCTAAAAATAAATTTAAGGGTAGCTTGTAAAAAGAATTCCCCCACTATTCGTTCTACATGCTAAATACCCACTCGATACCCTATGGTCAATACCCGCCCACTGACTTGAGTCCAAGGACTTAAAAATCTGCCGTTACGCCTTCACTGATTATGAAAGCTGACTGTTTTATTAAAATGGATTTTGTTGAAAGTTTATATTTTATAAATCATTACAAGGTTAATATTATATTTTTGAATAATATTTTTTTCTAAATAAATTTATTGTAATATTTAATTTTTTTTTAGGATGTTTTAATAACAGATTTTCATGTTTTAAAATCAAAAATGACTGTAACAAGAAACTGCATGGAAACTATCAAACCTGATTTTGATATCAATGATATTAGTAAAGTGATCGAAAACTATGTTTATCCCATCCTGTATAAGTTGTTATAAGTAGCAATAAGTATTCCCTTAAGCTCAGCTACGTGCGAAAGATCGTTTTCTTCTATGAGGAGTATCGAAAATTGGTTCTGAACCAATATGCTACAAGACCGTTTTACAAATTTGGTTGTTCTGACTACAGAGAGAGATGTTGTTACTCGATAAATAATGAAGATATTTTAGAAGTGTACTTGTATTAAAGACAAAACATTTTTTATTAATATAAAATTAAAATTTTATAGTTTAATTTATATGTATATATATATGTATTATTAACTTGTGAATTACGGTGGATTTGTTTGAGTGGTAGGAGGATAATGAGACCTTGCTAAAATGTAAACAGAACCCATAATATTTAGTATTGATCAATTTTGTCCGTATTTAATTTTATTAGATGGGAGTGTTTGGGGGCGTAGAAACCGCGGGTCTGTGTTGTCTTTTCGCTAAAAAGCCCCCCCCCCCCAAAAAAAAATAAAAAAATAAACCTTAGTTGCGCCTATGAAAGTACCGCAAACTATACGAACATAATAATTCACGTATTCCGACAGATAATCGACTACGTGTTAAATATAGTTTACTAAATATAGTTAACCATGTGATAAACATATAATTCTTGTGATAAAGACGAGTACTGCTCTTTTATATTATTCATTGTTTATAAACTTTCATATAAATTTATGTTTATTTATGGTTAATTTCTATTATTTTTAATTTAGTGTTACTACATTTTAATAAACACAATAGACCTGTAAGAGCTCGAATAAAAAAATTGAATATAGATTTAGATATATTTATTTATTTTTTAAGAGTTTTATGCGTTAGATATTGATTTATTTTAAACGTTATTTCTGGTGATTTACACTAAAAATGATATTGCTTCCACAATGAGTTATACCCTAAAATAGCTGAATCAACGCCAGGTAATTCAGCTAGTAATGCATATATCTACAAATAAAATAAAGTATACTGTGTAAAAGTATTTTTCTTGCTTTTATTGTATTGTTATTATTATTGTTATTATTTTTTTATACAGCGATAACAAAATATATCCCTGTTCCCCATACACATAATCCTGACCAAGTGCCCCATTAACTATGTCCACGGTATACATGGTAGGCGAGTGACGGTTCCCGACGCCCGTTAGTTTGAACAAAAATAATGAAAATAAACATATTCTTGTATATAGGTAC